TCGGATGGTGAATAAATATTATTATTATTATTATTATTATTATTAATCTAAAAGCATCAGCGAATGTTGTGGTGCTGAACCCCATATGTGGAAACAGTATTCTAGAACAGGCCGTATCTGTGCGCTTTGTAGATCTGTAGGATAATTCAATTAACCTCTCTTTATCAAGACAAACATTTGAAGTTTTGTCGCATACTTCTTCCAACTCCGTTTCCACTCTTTTATTGTCGTTTTATGACAGTTAGGTTCATTTGTTAAGAGTAGATATGTTACCGGTTAAACCCGATTTTAGAATAAACTAGTTTTTCCACCACTAGCTATCAAACCTATCATTATTTACTACTTTTGAAGGCGTAAAGTGTGTTCTTACTACCAAGGTAGTTTACGTCATATTATGAACCACTATAGTCAATAAAGACATAGCCACCTCAGTTATACTTAACCCGAATTCACTATTATGATGCGATATTCACAGGAATGGCATTCGAATCTTAGGTATTTATCAATAACGACTTGTCTTATGCTGTCATGGTCGCTAGATTTCAATTAAAATTGAAAATAAGTGCTTTCATAGTGACATAGGTCCACATTTCAGTTTCAACAGAACTATGATGATTGAAATATATTGCTAGTGGTGAAAAAAATTGAATATACCGATATAATATGCCGATGATAGTACCCTCCATACTGCGTTCTCTTCCAGAATTCCCATTTCTTCCCAGGAAACTAAGAACTCACGGCGCAGGCAGGTCAATGCTGTCAATGAAGACCTTGCTGAAATCACAGCCTGGGGAACCAACAACCTAGTTGAATTCAACGCCACCAAAACTCAAGCCTGTATTCTCTAGAAAGGCGGAACTCAGTATGCCCGATATTATATAATGTCTGGCACCACCATCCCCACCAAGCCCACCATATCTATGCTCGGTATTTCCATCAGCAACACTCTTTCATGGGATAATCATGTCAGATCCATCGTAAAAGCTGGTTCATAAAAACTCGGATTCTTGTTCCGTGCGAAAAGCTACTTTACACCTCAACAGATCCTTATGATCTACAAAGCGCAGATACGGCCTGTTCTAGAATACTGTTCCCTCATATAGGGTTCTGCACAAAAACATACGCTGATGCTCTTAGATTACATCCAGAGAAGAGTCATTCGCCTGGTGGGTGACGCCGCACTCACTCACTCTTTGACATCATTGGAACACCGTAGAAAGGTCGGTGACCTTTCACTTTTCTATCGATACTTCCACGGGAAATGTTCTTCGGAAATCTCTGCTATCATCCCTACACTAGCAATACCAGTCAGACGAACTAGACAAGCCCAGTCAGCACATCCTTTCGTTGTCAACCTCGGAAGATGTCGAACAGCACTTTATCAAAACTCCTTCATCCATATCCATAGAACGGCTAGGCTCTGGAATTCATTGCATGAGGAAGTTCAAAAAAAATCCAATACCTACCTCCTGTCCCTATCCTCCCTAGGAACGTACGATGTTCTCTGAACTATAGGGATTTCCTTTCGTGCGCTCCAAGAGATAGAAAAAAAAAAATGATAAAAACACGGGACCTTATCCCCCTTGGCTGTAGTCTCGGGATATAATCCTGGTCCTGGGGTAATAATGCCATTCTTTACTACCTTGGTACATAAATAACTATTTTCCTAGGCTAAATCACAATATCCGAAGAGCGATAGGATAAACTAGTTTATCCTAGGCTAAACTGATCTTGCCAGACGTGTATGTTCCTTCCACTCAAAATATTAACAAAAAATCGATAACAAGTCAAGCTGATTGATACAAAATTCAATGACCACGTTCCTGAATGATCTACTCATAGAGGTGTATTTTCCTTCCTCACAAAATATTAACAAAAAATCGATAACAAACTAGTTCATCCTATCGCTCTTCGGATATACTGATTTAGCCTAGGAAAAACTAAATTATCTTAAAATCGTGTTTGTCCGGTAACAGATACATACAATGTGAACATGTCTTCAGCTGCAGCCAAGCAAAACGCAGATACAACAATATCCCAACAAATAATATAACTGGACTACAAACGAATGACCATTGTATAGAATTCAGCAAATAATTGCAAAATAGATAGTCGTAGACAATATTGAGAGATATTATCTGTTTAACGAAGCAGATATTATTAAAGCATTTACCATTGTAACGGCCTTTATGCCATCATTCGTGCTCAGACCACTGAACTATACATATTAAATTTGTGGTTGAGACCAGTCGGGTGTGAAAATTTACAGGTATTGGTTACATGCATTGCATCGTTAGGAATTTAGAGCAATTAGTTTTTATAATGTTTCATTCTAAGGAAATATCATATACCAAGACATTGATACATTTTGTTTCAATGAGTGAGTGAACATAGAAGTTGAATATATGATCGGTTTCGGGCCAGGAGCTATTTCACTCCCAGTCAGCTGCTCATGATCCCAAACATACCCTGAAACTGTTGGATTCTGTACAAAAAAGGGCAATTCGTCTCGTGGGTGATGCTTCACTCACAAACTCACCCACTTCTCTGGAACACCGTAGAAAAGTTGGCGATCTGGCTATTTTTTATAGATATTTTCATGGACGATGCTCTTCTGAAATATCAACAATTGTACCTCCCTCGGCTGTCCGCGCGAGATTAACCCGTCGAGTTGAGGCTTCGCAACCCTTCGTGGTCACTTTGGAGACCTGCAGAACATCTCTTTTCAATGACTCGTTCATCCAACGAACAGCGAGGCTCTGGAACACATTGCCAAGGTAGGTGTTCCCCGAGGCATATAACCTACAGAAATTTAAGAAGAACACCAATTCTTACCTTATTTCCCTTTGTTCCCACCATGTTCTCTGAACATTACAGGATATTCCTTTTCGTGGGAATAAGAACATGAAAAAAAAGTGAATCGCCTGTTTCCTATACTCTTTTTGACATCCCAATCAACGTTCCTAGTTTTATACAGGGTTTCCAAAAATGATTAATAAGTAGTATATATTCTAGTAGTAGTTAGAGGCTTTGTTCAAGTTTACTCTCGTGATTGTTTCCAAAGCGCATTCTTTGTCGGTGTTGAAAATGATTCGATATTTTCAAAAGCGTTTTGTTCAAAAAAACTAATTTCAACATAATGCAACAGGATTTTCGACTATCTTTTTTTGTGTGACCTTGAAATCAGACCCTTTCCCGGAAATGTTCTTTGAGCATATTTCCTTTTTATGTAATAGACAAAACTCGTAGAATTTCAAGAAGAGGTATAATACATTTTGATCAGAATCATGTTGCGAATTGAAATAGAAAGTTGAACAATAATTATTGTTCCTAATTCGTCGTCCATGGATCCATCAATGAGGTGGATGTGCACTTCACGATATTTCTTGGGATTTTCTCTGCCCGTTTCTGTCAATGAGAATATGAGAAATATTTCAATATATTTGTAGTAAGTATACTAGCATGGTGTCACCGACTCATCTTCTGAAAGTAAATGTCTTTCTCTGTCAACGCAGGGACATATTTGCGGACAATCTATCTGATTTTTCCTTATTAGAAAACCAATTGAAATAGCTCATATAATATTTTTTTACTTATAGAAGAGAGGAAAGGAAATCCCAAAGAATCTGTATGGAAGCAGAAAACAAGAATAAAGTATTTTCATGAAAATATCAATCAACAAAAAAGTGTTTCGTTTGAAGGTATATATGGTTGAGTATGGTGAAAATATTGTGCATTAAGCAACGGATACAGACTAATTTTTTCGATTTGGCGAAACAATATCAAATATTATTTGATACATTTCAATATTTTCATCTCAACCGAATCAACAACGAGTAACTCCACAGTCTATTAATTGTCCACGGTAGTATATAATAAATGATCTGTTTTGAGCGTTATTTCGTTGATATTTTCAAATAACTGAAGGCGTCAATTTATACATTTTAGGAAATGATATTATTCGCTTTTTTATCTAGATATATTTCATGTATATGATACCTTATATTATACTGCATGATCATATGACGAATTGAAAACCTCAAAATAATAGATATTTTATCGATTATAAGTAGTGATGTATAGGTATGTGTTACCTATGTGTTCCATTGATGACTATACAGGGTGATTCAAAAGTAAGCGGCATCCTTTCAGAGGCGTATTCCTTGCATGAAAATAAGGCAAAAAGTTCCTATTGATAAGGATCCGAAAATGCTTCCTAAGGGAGCTACGGCCCTTTGAATAGGACACCTCAAAGACGGTTTTTTCTCTATAACTTTGAAATCCTTCACAACAAATTTTTAAAAATTGGTGTACGGCATAAACATTCGATGGTAAATAGGACTCCGTATTCGAAATAATTTCCAAACGAAATCACAGTAACCTGAATATCCGGAGAAGAAGGGATATTTTTACACTTACCCTCTCCCGCATGTGACGCCCCTGAATGAAATTCTGAAATTTCGAATACGGAGTCCTATTTACCATCGAATGTTTATGCCGTACACCAATTTTTAAAAATTTGTTGTGAAGGATTTTAAAGTTATAGAGAAAAAACCGTCTTTGAGGTGTCCTATTCAAAGGGCCGTAGCTCCCTTAGGAAGCATTTTCGGATCCTTATCAATAGGAACTTTTTGCCTTATTTTCAAGCAAGGAATACGCCTCTGAAAGGATGCCGCTTACTTTTGAATCACCCTGTATACAAGGCAATTTCTTTAAAACTAGCTGGTCCGGCCTGGCTTCCCACGATTGATGTACACATTTAAAATGAATAAGACATTTATTACAGGCATTCTGAGCTATGCGCGTATCTACAGGAGTTATTATTTTTTGTTTTTTTCTTTTATTTTTTTGTGTTTACCTATACTTAGGTACTATTATATACTTACACCTATTCTCATTCTCCCAGTATCGTTTGTATTTTAGTGAATTTAACATTTATTTCTTTATAGAATCAGGAGAGGAGGGAGGGAATTGTCCCCGACCATGATAAAAGTACTAACCTCTAAGTTGCCGATAGGTCCGTTGAAAGGATAGTCCCCCAACCTCCTTTCTTCGTCCAGGAACTTTCCGGCTCTTCCATTTTCTGGGGGGCAAAAAAGGCCGTAGTTGAAACTCTCCTTCAGCTCCTGTAAATGAACCAATCATTAATGAATATTCGAATATCGTTCTTTTTTCATAACTCGATGATGAATTGACCAGGATGAGTCATGCAGAAGGAAAAGAGAGATAACAGCACATCAAAATAACAGATTGCAAGTAAAGGCAAAGAACAATATTTTGAAAAAGTTTGTGCATGATGTTGTGTTGCGAGTTGGATAGGATGCGCTGTGCTAATAGCCCAGAGTTTGAGGTTGCAACATAATCAATTTGGCAACCGCGAAATTCTGGTGGGAATTTGAATTTTATAACCTTCATCACAGAAGCGTCGCTGTGATGACATCAACATTAACCAATACAAATTTCAGGCCTGTACGTTTGTATTGCTGAACTTGCTGAAGTTGATTTTTTTCCATAGTTCTAGCCGAACAGGCTTTTCAATAACAACTAAAAACAATTGAATAGGGAGAGTTACAAGTGAGTTGTTACCATGGTGGAGTTATAGTAAGGTGTGCTACCTACAACGCATCTTTGTATACGTCACTGCGAGTAAAACAACTGCTCGCAGTCTGAGCTGACAGTCATGAGTTCGTCCCAGTCGCAGTGATCATGACATGCGCAGAAAACACTAATTCAAGATACCTGAGTAGCACACCATATTATATTTTCACCATAGTTGTTACCACGAGTTGTTACAAGGTTGGTAAAATTGATTCCTATTGACATATTAGTAGGTCGCCTTGATCAGAAAACGCGGTGATGGTTAGTCATTATTTGTGACGTACCTAATCCCATGAAAAATTTCACGTTTTTTTCATAGAAATCATTATATTATTATTATTCTAGATAACAACTGAATATATATAGATATACTTAAATAAAGTTATAGAATATATATTGACGATTGACATAACCAGAATTTATGACTGCAATATATTTAAGTATACAGGCAGGTTTATCTGAAACGTATCCCAGGCATTGTAGGCTGGAAAAGGAATTTTCGACAAATTTGTTCGATAAGAGGACAACTTCTGACAAAACAAGCATAGCTAAAGCTTCAACTTCCTGAATGAATGTGTCATCCCCCAAATCTTTCCAATTGTTTATTTTTTTTCATGTTCTGGTTTCCACGAAAAGGGATAGGTATCCTGTAATGTTCAGAGAACATCGTGACAACCAAGGAAAATAAGGTAGGATTGATGTTCTTCTTAAATTTCTGGAGGTTATATGCCTCGGGGAACACCTCCGATTAGCAATGTGTTCCAGAGCTTCGCTGTTCGTTGGATAAACGAGACTTCGGAAAGGGATGTTCTGCAGGTCTCCAAAGTGACCTCGAAGGGTTGCGCAGCCTCAACTCGACGGGTTGGAGTTAATCTCGCGAGGACTGCCAAGGGAGGTACAATTGTTGATATTTCAGAAGAGCATCGTGCATGAAAATATCTATGGAAAATAGCCAGATCGCCAACTTTTCTACGGTGTTCCAGAGAAGTGAGTGAGTTTTTGAGCGAGGCATCATCATCCACGAGACGAATTGCCCTTTTTTGGACATAATCCAACAGTTTCAGGGTATGTTTGGGTGTTGCACTCCAAATATGGAAACAGTTTTCCAGGACAGGTCGGATCTGTGCCTACAAATACCATGCTGCTTAGTTTTTGAAAATCAAATTACTCTTATAGAAAATATGGAGTTTAGAAATACCATCAATACGTCGTTTTACAAAAAATTTAGATACTTTCACGTGCTTTAACCTCACCTGTCAGCTATCTAGTACCCACGTGGTCTATCTAAATGTGAAGTACAAACACCGCGACAAACGCGATACTCGTTTATAGGGACAGGCATATAAGCGGGGCTTCCCCCCTTCCCCCCTTTCGTGGCGAATATTTGATTTTTCTGTCTCCAAACTAAGGATTTGAGTTTCTATTTCAAACTAGAAATTTCTAAATTCAAAAACACAAAATTTATATTTTGTAGTCAGTATTTCCAAGTTTAGAAGGGAGCTTGAATATCCAGTTGAAACTAGAAACTTCCAACTGCAAACCCAAACTTTCCGACTGATGAGTCGAGAATTCAAAGTTTGAAGTGGAAAAAAATTAATTCCGAATATCGAGTTGAGAGTCTCAAGTTTCAATTCGGAAAATGGAATTCTCAAATTCTCATACTCCGCACAAACCCAAGCTTCCCACCTGCGTACTCTGAATTCCTGATTCGTTGCGAAAGTGAAATGAAATTTCTTGTATTCCAGTTTGTCTAAAACAAAAATTGGAAAATTCAAAAATGAGTTAGTAAAATCCACATATTAACCCTCTTCCACCCATAAAAATCTTCTTTCGGTTCTTCCCTGGTTGCTTACTTACAAAAACGAGCCTGAAGAATTTGCAGAGCTCGAAGACAGCGAAGAATTTCATTCGAATGATATGGTAACTTCTTGAGTTGATGATTTGAATCAATTTTTGAATCTATTCGTCAATGATTGCCTGTTATATGTTATATACAGATTGCATCTAAATAGCACCGGAAAAATTCAAGGTGTGATTGCTTGTGATATTTTAGGAAATAAAGTTCATATGAACATATTATGTTCTATGTTGCTTCGTTTTCGAGATACCAGGGTATTCATATTTGCATGGAAAATCGTTTTTTATTCATTACTCAATTGTCTTTTCATCAATTTCAATAACACGTTGTGATTTCGTTATTAGTAATATGGAGCTTCTCCTGCTGCAATTAGATTCGAAATAATATTTCCAGTGGCGTCACAGTGGGTAAATTCATCTATATTTATGGTGAATGTCATTGTACGCCACAGGTTTTTCTGAGTTTCATATTTTTATTAGATTTACCTATTGAAATGACAACTTTTTTATCCCCTGTGTGATTTTTGTATCTAGCTTAGTTTTTGAGGACACAATAAAAATTCGATTTGACTCAAAATTTATTGTAGGTGTTTTCAAGACTTTCATTGAGATTACTCAATAACTCCAATTACAATCATTTTGAAATTTTAGGGCTTTCCTAGTCTCCAACCATACTGAATTTTGGCACCATGAAAGCTTATACAAGGGGGTTATAAATAAAAATAATTAATACTTCCAGCTTCAACATCCTGTATCTCAAAAACGAAGCAAGTTAGGACACATGTTTATATGAACTTTATTTGCTAGAATATCACAAGGATTTACCCTTGCATTTTTTAGGCATTATTTAAATACATACTGTATATGCCAGATATATTTCAATTATTTCAGTCAAAATTTTATCCAAGATTATAATTTTTGACATTTTTTGGATAGAGAATTTTTCAAGATACTAATAGAGAGTTGGAGATCATACGAATCGAGCAATGTTGATATAGCCATATCTAGTCGAAAGGATACTATATACACAGTAAAGAAAATAGAGTGGAATTTCACACTATACCTGTTCCCAGGAAGACCACTAAGCTTTAGAGTAAATGATTTATCTCTATAGTTTATTATATTATAGTGTAATTTTTTCAATTCAATTAGTGTAAATTTTCAATGCAAGCACATTGAAACTTGCCCTATTCATTTCTCTGAATATATCGAATGAACGCAAAAATAGAGTTGAGAGAAACAATTTCGAAAGTGAATATTCCACTCAAGACCCAAGCTAGTGTCAATATCATCACTTAGAGTGGAATTCAATAACCGAATATTATATAGTCACAAAAGTTGAGTGTTGTAATATAATAGTAGAGAGTAGATTCCACACTATAAACAGTGTCGGATCCACCGGAAATTGATTGAATTATTTACTCTACGTGGATGTCAAATTGCTCCTGCATTGTTCAAATTGACACTACTATTTGTTCAGGTGCTAATAAGGAGTTATCATTTATTCATCATTTTAGATTGATATAGAACACTAGTTGAGTAAACTAGTCTCTACTTCCTGTTGAGATTCCATCCAAGTTAAATTAATCATTCTTTCACAAGTCACAGTATTTATAGACCCCCAACAGACGTTCAGTGGCGAAATCTCCGCAGCGCCACCTGTATGCAGTGACGCGAATTGACGGATGAATAGTAGTGTGACTATGATATTTTGATCGTTTGATATTTGGAAAATGACTGGAGTGCCACTAGACTAATTAGTTAACCTATATCTATTTCATGAATCGAAATAATTATTCTAAACGGAAAAAACGGAAAATAACTGAGATAGGTATACGGAAATACGTTCATAACTCAATGTTGAAAAAAAATTCTCACTACGCGGGTATAGTAAAAAAGCTATTCGAAGCTAATATCATGATCATTATATCATCGACACTATAATCTGTATTACTTATTTCACTATCTAGTAGGCTGAACGATCTAAAATTATATAGATTGATATTCCATCGTATATAGATTGAAATGAACAATGTTAGAGTGTCAATTTAATGGGCAAGAGTGGAATATTCAAGTTCACTAGTGTCAGTAAACACAAGTATTAATTCAATTTCAATTGTTTGTGAAATGAGTTATCTGAATTGATATTTTATTGAAATTTCAGGAATTAGAGTGAATTCAATACTAGAATAGTGGAAATTCAATCTAGAATCAGTTTCAAAGGAGATAATCTGCGAGAAGTGTAGTAATAGAGTTGATTGCAGTATTATAGTTGAGTATTTTAACTCTAAAAACATACTCTATTTCAACTCGAAGCGGTTTTTTACTGTGTAGTATATGAAATTTCGAATATTATAATCCGCCATATTTTTTATCAATATTTTTGGCTAAAATTCTGATGTCGTATAGAGAATTGAAAGACGGTTCAAATGACCAGCCGCTCCATTCAAAACTATTTTCCAAAATGGCGTCCAGAAGTCATTTTGATCCTCAAAAAATAAACACAGGATCCGGTGAATATTATTCTTGATTATACACTAGAACGCCATTTTTGGACAAAGTCAGTGATGTAATCACGGAAGATCTGTTTTCGATTTCTTCCATTTACATTTCAGATTCTACCTAATTAAATTAAATATTTTTTGAGGCTGACGGCATTGTGATTATTATC